GGTGTCAAGGCTCAAGAAGAACTGGCAGAACATCTGAGCTTTATACATTAAGAGCACCATGGGCAAGCCCCAGAGCCTTTACTAAGACACAGCTTAATAAATCCTAGTGCTACCAATAAAAAAAAGAAGAAAAAAGGAAACTGGACCCTTATCTTATACCACTCACAAAAATTAACTTGAATTGGAGTAAGAACTTAAACATAAGGCCTGAAACTATAAAACTTTTATTTTTTTTTAAAGATTTATTTGAGAGCCAGCAGTGCACACACATGCTGAAGTGAGGGGGGGAGGGGGAGAGGGAAAGAAAATTCAGACTCCCTGCCAAGCACGGAGCCCAACACAGGGCTCAATTCCACAACCCATAAGATCACGACCTGAGCCAAAACCAAGAGGCAGACGCCCAACCAACTGAGCCGCCCAGGTGCCCCTGAAATTATAAACTTTAAGAAGAAAACACGGAAAAAAACTCGACACTGGTGTTGCCAATGATTTTTTGGATATGGCACCAACAGCAAAGGCAACAAAAGCGAAAATAAACCAGTGGAACTGTATCAAACCAAAAACCTCTGCATGGCAAGGAGACGACAAAATGAAAAGGCAACCTAAGGAATAGGAGAAAGTATCTGCAAAAGATCTGACAGGAGGTTAACATCCAGAATATATAAAGAACTCATAAAACTCAACAACAGGGGCGCCTGGGTGGCTCAGTCGTTAAGCGTCTGCCTTTGGCTCAGGTCATGGTCCCAGGGTCCTGGAATCGAGTCCCGCATCCGGCTCCCTGCTCAGCGGGGAGTCTGCTTCTCCCTCTGCCCCTCCCCCGCTTGTGTTTTCTCTCACTGTCAAGTAAACAAAATCTTAAAACATCCTCAACAATAACAATAAAACCAAATAATGCAATTAAAAATAGGCAAAGGACCTCAATAAACATTTATCCAAAGACACACAAATGGCCAACATGTACATGAAAAGATGCTCAACATCACTAATATCAGAAAAATGCAAATCTACTTCTTTAAAGATTTTATTTACTTGAGAGAGAGAGAGAACACAAGCAGGGGGAGGGGCAGAGGGAGAGGGAAAAGCAGACACCCCGCTGAGCAGGAAGCCCCACGCCAGGCTCGATCCCAGGACCCTGAGATCATGACCCAAGCCAAAGGCAGATACTTAACCACTTAACCAAATGAGCCACCGAGGCGCCCCAGAAAAATGCAAATCTAAATCACAATATCATCTCACACCTATTAGGATGGCTATTATCAAAAAGCAAGAGCTAACTGCTGGTGAAGAATGTGAAGAAAAGAAACCCTTATATACAGTTGGTAAGCTAAATTGGTATAGACAGGGGCGCCTGGGTGGCTCAGTTGGTTAAGCGACTGCCTTCGACTCAGGTCATGATCCTGGAGTCCCGGGATCGAGTCCCGCATAGGGCTCCCTGCTCGGCGGGGAGTCTGCTTCTCCCTCTGACCCTCCCCCCTCTCATTCTCTCTGTTTCTCATTCTCTCTCTCTCAAATAAATAAAATCTTT